TTGACAGCTTCGAACGCTTGGCATAGAGTCTCATGGATTTCCCCATCCATCTCCACATACTTGAAGGACGACAAATGGCTCACCATTATGTCTTCCTCGCCACACACGGTTACGATGCTTCCCCCAACAACATATTTGAGTTTCTGGTGCAACGTGGAGGTCACGGCACCAGCAGCATGGATCCACGGTCGGCCCAAGAGACAACTGTAGGCAGGCATGATGTCCATAATATAAAAGACCATGTCGAACGTTTCCGGCCCGACTTGGATCGGCAGGGTCACCTCCCCGAAAACGTGTCGTTTAGTTCCGTCGAATGCCTTCACAACCAGATCACTGGGTGTGCAGATCACTCCACGAGTATCCAACTTCATTAATGCCTTCTTCGGAAGAACATTAAGCGACGAACCCGTGTCCACCAACACGTGCGACATAATCGTGCCCCTACACTCTATCGAGATGTGCAGAGCGCTATTATGGTTTCTCCCCTTCGGCGTCAGCTCCAGGTCCATGAAACCTATCCCGTTTCTGGCATTAACGTGGGCTACAACCTCTTCTAGCTGATTTACCGATATTTCTTGCGGTACATAGGCGGCGTTCAACACCTTCAGCAGCGCATTGCGGTGTGCTTCAGAACACAACAACAGGTTCAGAATGGAAATCTTCGAGGGCGTCTGTTGGAGATGATCTACAATCTTGTAGTCACTCTTTTTAATCAACCGCATAAACTCCTCAGCATCTTTAACAAGCAAGTCTTTTTCTACCCCACACGGGGCCTCTTCAACGACTTTACTTTTACCCTTATCGGCCGCATCAGCTCTGACCGCTTTATCTGTCACAACCTCTGGTGGTGCAAACACTCTTCCGCTGCGAGTAATACCACTGACTCCCGCAAGGTTCTCCACAGTCGTCCCAAACGGTTCTAGCTCCAACCTCTGTCCGTTGCAATAGACTTCAGCCCCATAATGCCACGGGACGGCGTTAGTGCTCTCAAAGGGTATCGGCCCAGCTTTGGTAATAGTAATCGTGGGCGGTCTGGGCGCAGAAATGGTTATCGGCCGGCGAGGGATGGTGATGGTGGCGACTTCATCGGCCTGCTTCAGCACTACCTCTCCTGACCCCCTTTCAGCCCTCCGGCTAAACTGCAGAATCCCCTCAATCATCAGACTTTGAATTCCTTCTACTAACTGCTCACATCCATCAAAACGTGTGGCACAGTCCATACATAGCTCTCCGCAACCTGGAAAGAACCCTTTTTTCAGCAACTTAGCTTTAACGAAGCTAAGCGGCGTCTTCAGATCTCTGACATCAGTCAATAAATATGCACTCTCGTCTTCGATAATGGCGTTCACCCTGCCTCCCCTATGATTCAGCATAGGATTCTTCGTGACATTTGGCACATTATCGGAGAAGTTGATGATCTTGGCATCCACCATGTCCTGCACCTTATGCTTGAAGGCTTTGCAGTTCTCTATTGTGTGGCCTGGTGCCCCTGAATGAAACTCACAAGTGGCATTCGCGTCGTACCCTGGCGGAGGTGTCCCTGTCAAGGGAGCCAGCGTCCTCTTCTGGATCAACTGTAGCTGAAGCAAAGTCTGCAAGAGTTGCGCGTACGACATGGGCGGTGTCTCGAAGTGACGGTTCGCCAAAGGTGCCCGATTCTGGTACTTCATGTACCCTTGTTGATTCGGTTGCTGCTGTTGCTGCTGCTGCGGAGCTGCCGGGATATTTATACTGGCCACCTGCTGATGAGGGCCTTTACCCTTCCTTCGAGCGTTGGTCACAGCGCTCGCTTCTCCTTCTCGTCTTTTGCCAGCATAAGGTTTCTTTCCGCCTCCTCCAGCTGAGGATGACTCACCTTGAATTTTCCCGATTTTGATCCCATTTTCGACGTGTTCACCCGTGATAATGAGATCTGAGAACGTCCCAGACATACCGCTGATTAACTTCTCATAGTAAACCCCTGGGAGGGTAGCAACAAACATCTGCACGAGCTCGCGTTCAACCATCGGCGGCTGAACCCTAGCTGCCAACTCACGCCACCGCTGGGCGTACTCCTTAAACCCTTCATTGTTCCTCTGCGACAGATTCTGCAGCTGAACTCGGTTCAGGGCCAAGTCGCTATTGTATTGGTAGTGGTGCACAAATGCTTCAGCAAGATCCTTCCATGTGCGCACGCTAGTGGGCTCCAGACCCATGTACCACTCGAGGGATGGCCCGGAAAGGCTGTCTTAGAAGAAGTGCATCAGCAACTTCTCATCCTCAGAATGGGCAGACATTTTTCTGTAGTACGATCTCAGGTGGACACGAGGGCAAGTGGTGCCCTTATATTTTTCAAAGTCAGGTACCTTGAACTTGGGAGGCACCTTGAAATCAGCAATTATCCCCAACTTGGACATACCAACGCCCAAAGTATTATGACTCTCAATATCTCTCATCTTATCTTCAAGTGCCTTGAATCTAAGACGCGCTTCAGCATTCAGCTCCCCTTCAGCACCTCTCTGAGAGAACACATTGTCTTGACGATCCTCTAGCCATGGCTGGGGCACAAACAGATTCCTGACACCCGCATTGCCGTTGCCCGGCCCGATATTGACATTAGCTCCCAGACTTCCATTACCGACGCCCGTCGTATTGAGTCCCAGATTGGCCATCACATTGCCGTTAGCACTGCCGTTTCCCCCGGTCACGGGGACACCATTCTGCGGAGTTTCAACTGGTGGAGGAGTAGGCACAGTCCCACCATGGAGTACGCTGTTGCTATCAACCCTCGAAATCAAAGGCTGAACCAAAGTTCTGAGCTGCTCCTGGCCATTAGCGACCGCTTGCATGAGCTCCATGAAGCGATCCATTCTTTCGCGGAGTTCCTGAACCTCAGTTTGTACTTGCTCCATGATCCTGATCTGATTAGCTCTAGTCGGATAGCGGTGAATAGGTCTCTGATCAATCCTGGAACCGCCTGAGACAACCTGAAACAACCTGAAATAACCTGCGACAACCTAAAATAACCTGGAAAACACAAAAGCGTTAGGAAAAACAACAAAATGCTCGTCATGCAAATGCTTCATGCAAATGCATGCGTGTGTCTGTGCGTTGGGGAGATCTCCCCCGATCCTAGTGCCTGAGTGCCAGTGCTGATAATAAGAAGAAGTCCAAGTCCAATCATGGAAATAACAATCTCATATATAAAGAAAGCCCATCACGGCAGTACACAACATCAGCGAGTACAAGATGAATCAACAGCGTAACCTCAGCTAACAAGCCTGGTGATGGTCAGCATACAACAATGATCAAAATAAAAGGAATACAAAAAGTCAAGTACGGCCACGAGCGCGATACTCTTCTAACAACTCCTTCGTTTCTGGATGATCATGCAGAGTGAGTAACCCTTTGACGAGTAATTCCCTCTGCACAATGGTGTACTGAAGTTCTTCAACCAAACCTTCCCATGCTCCTTCGCCGAAGCAATCTTCTAACTTCCGTTTCTTGGACTCAAACGTCAGTTTGCGCTCCTTCAGGTTAGCGAGAGCTCTGTTAAGCTGGCCTTCGGTGGCGTATCTACGAGCGGTTTCTTCATCAAACCTCTTCTCACTATCCTTCACCTGGGCTTCCAGCTTGGAGATCTGTAGCATCAACTTATCCTCCCGCTCTTTCGTGGTGGCCAGGGAAGCCTTCCAGTGCTGGTTGAACTTGGATATCCTCCGATATGCTTCGTCCAAGTGCTGCTTCTTCGTAGCCAGTACGTCGTTGACAACTTTGAAGTCTTGACCCATGCGTTCACGCTCGGCTATCTGCTTAGTCAGGTCTGTACCCAGCTGGTTCACCAGCTCTGTCTGCCTTTTGAAGGAATGAACGACTTCGTTCCTCTCGCTTCGGAGCTGAGCCAACTCTTTCTCCAGTTCCTCATTCACTCGCTTCAATTCATCTCGCTCAGCTAACACCTGATTATGCTGCTGAATGGGCACAGTAGTAGGCTCTTCAATCATTGGAGGGCTTTCTGGCTTGGCATGAGGAAATGGCATCCCTATGGCATCTGCCCTGGCTCTGATCCACGTCACATACGGAGGGTAGGCTTGATTGTTGCTTCTCTCCAGCAATGGCTTTCCTCGCTTGCTGATACCATTCCAGGCACGCTGAAGCTTGGATAACAGATCCCCCTCTAGAAGACCAGTGAGGTACAGAGATTCCTGCACCTCTTCATCCTTCGGCGGAGCTCTCAAAGCATACGCGAACTGTCGGACCAACAACGACGGATTGTAGTTTATACAGCCCTTCCTGCCTATCAAAGGCACGTTCGGAAACCCGCTGCAGCTGAAGATTTAGCAGTGCTCGCATCATTTCGTAACTGTTTCACAACAACATGACAACTATGCGAGAGAAACAATGCGGTTGGAGATGCGCATCGGTGATATCTTAATTTTGTTTTGCCTCAACAACGGTAGCAGCTCAAAGTTGTCCACCAATAAACTGAAGCTGTTGTTCTCGATGCCGGAAAATCATTCATCGACAAACAAATTAGACTCTAAGATTCTGTTTACGGACATTTTCACCGCTTAGATGAACACGTGAAAGTTGGCGCAAATCTGCAGCAGGAGTATTCAAAACTGATGACCGGCTAAGCAGCGGCACACACACCTTAGCAGATCAACGAATTCAACTCACGCTTTCGTATGAATTATCTTCTTGGAGCTTTCAAGCCTGCATGAAATGTCCTGATCTCATTTACTGATGAAAAAACCGTAAGCAGGTTCCATTTAAAAAAGAAAATGGCCAGTCAGTTACAGTCCCTCTTTTCCACAGTCAAGAAAACATTGCTGGAAAGATTACAATAGAACCAATGCAAGGGAAGAAGATTGATCACAATGGCATAAAAGTTGAGCTCCTTGGACAAATAGAGATGTAGAGGGAATTTTTATGACTTTACTTCCCTTGTACATGAGCTAGATGTTCCTGGAGAAATTTATGAAAGGAAAACATATCCATTTGAATTTTCTACTATTGAAATGCCATATGAGACATACAATGGGGTGAATGTGAGACTTAGGTATGTCTTGAAAGTGACCATTAATCGTGGTTATGCAGGAAGCATAGTTGAGTACCAGGATTTTGTGGTTCGCAACTATTCTCCACTCCCACAGATTAATAACAGCATCAAGATGGAAGTTGGAATAGAAGATTGTCTGCATATTGAATTTGAGTACAACAAAAGCAAGTATCACTTGAAAGATGTTATCATTGGCAAGATATACTTCTTACTTGTTAGAATCAAGATAAAAAACATGGCCTTGAGATTAGACGCCGAGAACCCACAGGATCAGGGACCAACACCCACGTGGAGACAGAAACATTGGCTAAATTCGAGTTGATGGATGGTGCTCCTGTCAGAGGTTGAGGAGTAAACATCAGCACGATTAACAAAGCCTCAAACTCAACCATCCAAGTGTAACACGGTGGGAGAACTGACTTTAAACAATGTTGCGGATAGCAAGAGTCGCCACCGACTTTTATTTTATCCATAAGGAAAGGTTATAAAAGAACAGGAAAGACCTTAGAGAATATTTTGGGTCCGGGGGGTAGGTTATGAAAAGGGAAGGTGTTAGCACCCTTTTCATCCATGGTTATCCATGGGCTCTTAGGTACTTAAGCTCACTTTTGAATTGTTTTGAAAGTGTAGTGTGTGAATAGCAAAAAAAATTCAGAATAGTTTAATAATAATCCGTGTATGGATGTGAAAAAAAACTTGTTTGAAAATTTTGTTGGAAATTTGTTTAAGTGTGAAAAAGTTTTGAAGCGAGCAAGTATCTAGGAGTAGCCTACCCTAATGTTTTAAGGTCTTTCTTATTCTTTATCCTTTCCTTAGTAAGACTATCCCTACTATAATGGAGTAGGTAGTCCTTACTTTGGATGTTAAGGGACATGTGAGGGACAATTGGATTTTTGAAGGCCATTGTGGGGTGTAATAAGCAAACTGGAGGGACTATCATCATTTTTCGAAAGGGACTCGATTCGTAAAGGCAACCATAAGGGACTTGGATGATTTTCTTTTTGAGGGACTTGCTTTATACACCCCACTTAACCAATATTCATAGGCAACTTGAGGGATATCCTTAGGAAGTGAGACGGCGATTAAAATCGACTTACGTGTGTGAAATGTTTAATTTAATTATCTTATATTAAAATGATCTAATTTATTTTTTTTTAAATATCATACATATTAGCACTCCCTAATTACTAACCATAATGATAATAATAATTAAATAATTACAATTTACATCCAAGAGGCAATTACAAAATTATAATAAATAAAATAAATAGTAAAATATAATCAAAATAAATATAATAAAAAAAAATAACAAATAAGTAAATAAAATATTGGGATTAGTAAATAATAAGAAAAATTAAATAAGGTTAGTAGAAATATAAAGTTAGTGAAAATAATTAGTTGAAACAATAATAATTAGAAAAATAGACAAAGTTAGAAAAAATAATAAGATAGAAATTTCAAAATAATAATAAGCAACAAAATATGATTAGCAATAATAATTAATTAATAACGTGATTAAACATAAAATTTGATTTTTATTTAGAAACATAAATGATTAAATAATTACTATAATATAAAGTTCTAAATATAACATAATTATAAATTTCTTAATCATTTACAAAATTTAATTATCTCTAATTATATATTAACAATTATTAAGAAAAATATTTACACATTATGATGAAAATAAATTTTAAATAATCAATAATCACATTCACAAAATTTTACATTAAGTATTTATAAGGTTTAATTTTATTTACAAAAATTTACAAGAATTATAATAAATATATACATAGAATTATATAGAAAATTAAAATTAGGTTTTATTTTTTTTAGAAAATAATTTTTAGGGCTTGTAAGAATTAGGGTTTATATATATACAAAAATTTATTTTTAATAATCACATAACATAATTTTAATTAATATAAACTATACAAATAAAATTTTAAATAAAAAAAACAAGAGTTTTATATTTTTTAAAAAAAAATTTTAATGCGTTTATAAAAAATAGTTTTTATTTATTAAAAAAAATGTTTTGAATTTTATAAAAAAAAAGGTTTTTATTATTACTTTTTAGGAAAACAATTTTCTAATTAATTTTTAAAAAAACTTAATAAACTTAATTAACTAATTATAAAAGAAAACAAAACATGAAAAAAAAAGGGGTTGGGCCGGTCATCACATCCGGACCCAACCCGGTCATGTTAATGGCAGCAAAGTGCTTGTTAGGGTTTCATAACCCTGAAACCTCTTCCGCGGCGCCGTTTCAGCTTTATCCTTCATCTCTCTCGGCCGTGTCTCATTCACGATATCACTCGGCTTCTGTTATATCACCTTCTCCACTCACTAAAAAAAATAGAAAAATGGTTAACAGGATGATAATGGAACGAAACGCTTACGGTGGGTTCAATCGGAGGCAATGATGATAAACTGAGCCTCGACGGATGGGATTTGCTCGTCGTGGCTTTAAATGGCGCCGGTGAATCCTCTCCCTTTCGCGACCACTAGGGTTTGCTCGCGATGGTGGTTTCGCCGTCGTTCTGTCTCTAGGGTTCTCGCGATTTTTCGTTAGGGTTTTGCTTGCAGTTGTTGCTCGCCGTTTTTTCTAGGGTTTCAACGAGGTGATATCGTTCCCTTTTTATATTCTTCTGATTTCGTTGCTATTCGTGGGCTTTTTGGATTTACGTTTCACTTTGGGCATTGATTTTTTCAGAAACCCTATTTTTAGATTTGATTGAGGTTTGATACGATTTCTTTCCTTTTCTGGTACTGATTGGATTGGATTTTCTGAACCTTCTTAACACAATCTGAATTTATTTTGATCTTCTTTGAACAAACCAGATTCGTTTTGATTTGTGGATATCCAGTTTCTTCGTTTCCTCGATTGGATTGAATTGGATTTCTCTGGATTCACGTTGGTTTTTCTGATGCAGGTCTTTCAGTATGGCTTTGATGTTCATGACAACTTTGTTGTCCACATGATTACGAACTCGGTTTCAATTATCCCTTGGCTGAGATGTGACCGTGAACTGGGCCATGATGTTGATGAACTGAGCCTTGAGCTCCTGTGCCTCGATTTTCCTACGCGACCCTGGGATTACTGTGACTGATATGAGCTGGTTCTGCTGTTTGAACTTGTTCTCCTCTTTTCCAGATTGAACTGTTTTTATTGCTTTCTTCTGGTATGATCTTGCGCATTCACTTGCTCCTTTTGGTATAATGTGTGATTTGGTGATTTCATTTTTGATGCCCTGTTTGGTTATTGGAACGTTCCTTGTTGATTCTTTGTAAACATTAATGTTGACCCTGATCTTCTAGTGTGGCTTGTTCTCTTTCTTATGGGGCTGATCTTGTTCCTGTTCTTATGGTCCGTTATGAGTTTTGGGGACTGCTGTTTCGAATCGTTTTCTGATATGGTTTCAAGTTCAATTTACTCTTCCAGTTTTAAGTTCACTGACCATCTTTTCTTCTTTCAGAATTGGTACTGATGCTTTGGTCGAGTTAAATGCCGCCGAGGATGGTATACGGCGATGATGATGATGTTCTGAGCCTGACGAGGGAACCTATGATACTACTGTTTCCTTTGATAACTTCTGCTGGGTTCCTTGCTTGTGTGAATTTGGTTTCTGAACAGGGTTTCTGGGCTTGTTGCGGATGTGTTATCCAAACCTGATACGCCTTGACTCTTCTCTGAATTTTACCATGATGCTGGGACTGAATTGATGGAACATGAGCTTATGCCATTAATCTTTTTGAGTTGCCCGTGAGTCTGGGCTATGATGTATGAACTGAGCCCAGACTTTCCCATGTGCCTTGCGCATTCGGTCGCAGGTATGACTTATCTTTACTCTGTCTGGTTGTGAAAACAGTCCTCTTGATTGTTGATTTTTTCGGTGTTAACGTGGACTCAGATTGGTTCCTTGATATGGTATATTCTTACATTCACGTTTTTTGTGACTTGCGAACTGACTACCTTTTGAGGTGTTTTGGGCTGTGATATCAAACTGAAACTTGACCTTAATTCTGATTCTTCTGAACTTTTGGATACAGTGTTTGATGCAATTTGATGCAGCTTGTTTTGTGTTTCATTGTTCTGTTTGAACTTGGTGTTCATGAACTCACTTATGTGGTTCAGACTTGATGCAGTTGTGCACTTTTAGTTTGAATTTCCAATTACCAGTGGCTGCAGCTTATGAACTGTTATCAATTTTGTACTGATGCTGTTGTGGAATTTCAGGTGTTGGAAACTTTCGAAAACAAAAGTGATTCAGACCTGCCGGCATCCGGGTCTGAGTCCAAATTTACCTTTGTATCAGTTTGGAAATCCAATTGCGGCAAAAGCGAATCAGTCCCTGCTTCTTTTATCACTTCTATCTCTCGGATGTTCCGTATGATAAGAACGAATGTTACTTGATCTGACGCCAACGGCGCGGATTGGTAACGGGGGCAGGACGCAGCTTCGGTTGTGCCACTCCCGGCACTCGATGATGACATTGTTCTGAGAGTGTCGAAAAAAATTCTAACATTTTCTGTACTGTCTGTTCTCTTTTGATGTGCAGGTTAGCTGAGGATTCATGGAGAAGTTCAAATACGAACATGAAGACCTTTAGATACTTTTAGGATTTAGGATAGATGCTTTAATGTAATCCCTTAGGATTTGAGAATTTTAATGTACTTCCTTGTAACAGTACTTTGCATGAAGCAACATCCCCATTCTTGTATGATAGCATTATTTATGAAATAAAATTCTCGAAGTTTTGAATTTATTTATATTCTATTCTTAGTTAAAAATATAAACAAATGTGAATAAATCCACAAGTATTTAATTCATTAACATAGGCACAAAACATAAATATTTCCAAGTGGTATTTGTGATCCTAATCTCATCATCCGATTAAAATGTTAACCAATTGTTTCATAACCAAACTCATATGGGCACCATGGTCACAACATTTTCAGCATCAACAGCAAAACTAATCGTAATTAAACTCCACTGACCAAATGCCAAATCTCAATATGATCAGAACTGGTGATTGATAAATGCCTCAAAACCATAACGCATCAAATGCCTCAGAATTTTAATAACAGCCCGTCTTCAAGGAATTGGTAGAATTTGTGTAAAATGACCAAAATACCCCTGGGACCAAATCTCTCTTTGATGTTGGCAAAAAAAATCATGAAGTTTGACTTTGGTTTGACCACAGTTGACCTCAGTTTGACTTTTTTAACTGCATTGACTGCTTTTGACTTATCTGATCATCTGACTGAGCAAACTTTTGAGAAAAGTCTTGAAACTTGACATGGGGGTTCTTATACACATAT